GGTTGGGTTGATTGGTGCACACCCTCGTTGGGGGGGGTGAGGGTGCTGGAGGGCCGGTTCACACCAGCTCCAGTGCGTTCCAGCATGATTCGCTGCACTGGAGCGCATCCCGGCCGACTTCCTGCATTCAGGGACGAGATGGGGCGTGGCGGTGCATTGAAGTCAATGACACCATAGCCACGCCCCCCCGCCCGCAGTGCGATCGCCCACAACAGAACATGTGCCACATCAGTGGCTGTGTTCCGGTTCAGTGCGATGTGAAAAAATGCTGCATGCACTATTTTTTCAGATCGCGCTGGACCGGAATGCACGCACTGATGTGCCACGCATTCTGGTGTGGGTGATCGCACTGCAGGCAGGGGGCGTGGATGCAGTGCCATTGTCTTCAATGCACCGCCATGCCCCACCCCTGAACGCAGGAAGCTGGCCGGGATGTGCTGGAACGCACCGAAGCTGGTGTGAACCAGCTCAGGGAGTGGCGCTGCCACGCAGGCATACAGGAGTGATGCCGCTGCTCTGGCCTGCGTCCTGCCCAGTTTCTGGCAACCAGTGACATCACTGGTTGCCAGGTGCTGGGCGGGACGACAGCCAGAGCACCCCGGCATGCTTAGAGCTGGGTGGGGAGATATCTATGGCCCTTACACATCTCCCTGCCTGTCTCTTAGCAACCTGGTAGATGAAAGTAGTCACTCGCACTCCATGATATTAAAGTCAATGCTGTTTATTGACTGAGATAACACACATCTCCTTAGCAACGTTTCGAGACCATGCGGTCCCGTCCTCTGTTTGCCTGAGGACGGGACCGCATGGTCTCGAAACGTTGCTAAGGAGATGTGTGTTATCTCAGTCAATAAACAGCATTGACTTTAATATCATGAAGTGCGAGTGACTACTTTCATCTATCTACATTTCATGGAGGCATCCGTTGTCACCACCGCACACACCCAGTTGGATTTGGGTTTTTGTCCGGTCAGGAGTGCGATGGAACAGGAGGATTAAGTTTCATCTTAGCAACCTGGGACGCTCTGGCTGGAAAGCGGTCAGCAGACACACTGCAAACATTGTGCAGCACAGCCACCATGCCTCTCTGCCTGCCGCCCCCCCACGTGAGATGCCGCCTGAGGCAATAGCTTTCGGCTGCCTCAATGTAGAGACGGCTCTGCAGCTTTAGATTAACATGAGACAATATAATTGGCTTTCTGTTTTTGTCATTATAGGATGTAATCGTACACTTGGCGGTGAATTACGGCACCAACATTCTTGATGAATGGAACACAAAGCCTTTTGTTTAATGTAGCATTGTCTTTCAAGCAGCAAAGGATTCTGGGAAAAGCAGCTCTCCACCTGCACACGTATGTACGTTTATTGTTCATATCAGGAGCTGCGAGTTATGTCATGACAAGATCCCGCCGGCACCAGGGAACACCAGACTGCTCTTTGGAACGGTGAAGACCTTGAAGCTCTTTTCTTTCCAGGAAGCTGGCAGCGAGTGACAACATTCACGCAGGCCGCGCCATGGAATATGGTGAAGGTTTAAAGCGGACAGACCAAGGTTACAATGCGCTGAAGGAGATGAGTGGCAGTGAATTCCACACCTGTTCTGTGGTCGCTGTAAACACCCAGTGACGTGGGAGCAATGTTGTTATATAGAATACAGTTGATTTTCATTGCCGCTCATGTTACAGCTGACTCACATTTCAGCATCTAGAAGATCCACCTTCCTCATTTCCTCCCTCATCAACATGACAACGACATTGGAAATAAAACATTTCTGTCTTCATTATATACCTTATTTTAGTCCAGGAGATGTCACCACGGTGTCTCTGTGCATCTCTATGCAATGCAGGCAGATGATGGCTGTGGGAGGGGCCGCAGGGAGCTGTACATAGCTTCCTGAAAACATCACAGCACCCTGCCTCAATACTCCTCTCAAGAGCCCTCAGTCCTGATACAAGCAGGAATATTTCACACAGTCTGGAGGGGTTGGCACTCCTAAGAAAGCTGTATTTGCTTGCAGGCTGTCCTAGGTGACTGCCACATGTGATGCTGAGCCTCCATGATTGAAAGAACAGAAATTCAATGAATGACGGTGCTGGACCAGGGACAGTCAGTTGGGGAGGAAAGTGCTAGATGATGCTGGGTGTCCTCCAGCCAGTATATGAGGTGGGCTCTATCTGACTTGGTGCAGCTTCTAATGCACATTATGAGAAGATCACGATCACAGTGTGCAGTGATATCAGAATGAGCAATCTCAGTCCAGGAGAGGAGCCGGTACAGCTGTCCAAGACTGAAGGGGAGGAGCCGGTACAGCTGTCCAAGACTGAAGGGGAGGAGCCGGTACAGCTGTCCAAGACTGAAGGGAAGGCCGGGGGTTTAGATTTAAATATGAACGCACATCATATGTATTATTTCATGTTCAGTGATGTGGGATCATCAGATCCTTCTCAGACATGGTGCACTCAGTATGAGGCATGACCTTAGATTATGGGGTGGGAGACTAGACCCGAGGCTGAGCATGTGATCCAACATACATTTATCACATGACTGCTGACAAATCATGTGCCGCCAAGTACTGGGGCGACCCGGGATTGTCATTTATGTATTAAAGTGATATCACAGCCAAAAAGTGAAATCACTTACAATGGATGCTGCTCCTTGATGTCCGTTTCCTGCAGAATCAGCTGGTCCCCTGAGCACTGGACCCGATATCCTGTTTTAGGGTGGCTCCTTTCCCTTATGGAGAGCCCCTTGTGTGTGCTAGTAAGCGGAGTGTGTCCCCACAAACACACAGGCACAGCAAGGCACAACCCCCTCATCCTCTTCACATAGACGTGTGACCATGTGACTGGACAGTAAATGGAGAAGCAGCATAGTGATGAGCTAATCTCTCAGTCACTCTGCTCTCCCCTACTATCAGCATGCTCCTTGCCAGCCCATGAACTGATTGGCTCTGTGTGCTGCTTCTCCCTTTCCCAGTGTGAGCTCTGCTGTACAGGGATTGCGGGTGACCAATTCTAAATAAAATCCAGCTCTTTAAGGGCTTGTTTCCACCAGCCCGTGTGGCTACCACAATGTCCCATGCCTGAAACGCAAGGGATCGCATACATAAAGTCTCCTTGCGTTCTGGGGCGGGAGGGGGGTGTGGCAGTGCCATTCAAGTCAATGGCACTGCAGACACGCCCCCAGCCCGCAGCACAATCGGGCGTGGTATAAAATAGCCCTGCGTTCCAGTGCGGTACTATCGCATTCCGGGCACGGCCCATTGCGGTAGACGCGCGGGCCGGAGGAAACAACACATTTCGAGCTGTACAAAACACAGCAACAACTTCTGACTCTGAGATTGCGGATTCCCTCCGTGAATTATCGCCGGGTTACGCTGCGCACCTCCCGGTACAATAATAAATAGTAAGCAATTAAACATCGGAATCTTCTAACTGCAGACGGGGGAAGAGAATTGACTGACTGCGACATCAACACTTCTTTTCTGGGGAGAACGCGTTCTGCCATTGACACCGACAGTTCTGCGCGGCGTTTCAAGCGCCGTTTAACATAATTACAGTTACTCATAATGTGACGAGGGGTCGCGTCAGTCCTTAAATATAATTACGGCGAGAAGAATCTGGCTGTTCATATGTCTTCCTCCTACACGACGCAATTATAGTAACCCGCCAGAGAAGACGCTTGCGCCTTGTAGGACAGGCAATCTGCAAAGTTTCTTCAAGTCGCCGTAAACTGGGTCAGTGCGATGACCAAAAATAACTCGGAGCCCGCGATTACGCCAAAGTTGCATAATCGGAATTTATTTGCTGGGGGCGGGATTAACTCCATGCAAACAGTTCAATACGCAGATGAAATACATATGAGGGAGTTGTGTTACCTGCTCAAGGATTAGTCTTCCTGTCCATCCAGTCCTGAGATTTACACAGCACGGCCCTGTCTGGAAGGGCACATGACCTGAATTTTCTCTGCTGCACTTCAGTAACACTTACAGGTCTTGTCCCTTTCCCAGCCCGTGACAGGACAGTGAAAGGAGAAGCAGCAGACTGATGAGCTCATCTCTCTGCTCTCTTCTCTTACCAGCATGTCCCTTGTTAGCATTTCAGCACAACTGAATGACTCTTCGTGCAGCTTCTCCCTCCCCCAGTCTGAGCTCTGCTGACGCTGATACCAAGTCAGATTACTTGTGACGGTATCATTTACAGATTAAATTATACCGTAGGTATCATTCAGGTACTTACGCTGAATACATTATATGAATAAGAACAGATAAAAATACATTTACAGATACAAAATACTTGAGATCCTAATAGGTTGGACTTGATGGACTAATGTCTTTATTCAACCTCAAATACTATGTAACTATGTAACATTTAAAGGGTAATTCCAGTGTTTTGGCAAATGTGGGAAACTGAAATTGCCCCCACAAACTGGTCCCCTCCCCCCCTTCCCCAGTAGTCATACCTCTGGGGAAGTCGCTGTTTGCCCCCTGCTGCAGCCAGTGTACAGGACACAGTGGAATCATGCTCGCAAATGGTGAGCAGTCATTGGTCAGTGTGGTCACCTGACCATGCTGACCAATTTCTTTCAAAGAAGCGCCTCTCATTGGTTACCACGCTGACCAATGACTGCTCTCCATTTGTGAGCATTATTCCATATACAGAGTATCGGGCTGATGATGATGAAGCGATGAGAAATCTTTCCAATGGAAACACAGACAAGAACAACGTTTTAGAAGAGCCAGGAAGAGAAACATAGTTGACGAGCATGCACAAGGGTGGCTCCACAGGACCCTGCTAGGGAAAGGAGCCCCCCATAAAACAGGATATCAGGACCAGCTGATTGTGCAGGAAACTAAAACCTATATATATCAGGGAGGAGCATCCATTGTAAGTGATTTATTGGCTTAGAAACCCTTATGACTGTAATGTCACTCTAAGTTCCCCCGCAGCTGGACGAATCGCGTCTATGGCAGTCTGAAAGTAAAAGTCCAAACTACTTACAGCAATCATTTTAGCCACAAAGCTTTCCGGGCCGGTGTACTCCGTCGGGTCCTTCACCTTGATGAGTACGATAAAGTACAGGTAGTGCCACATGCAATGCTCCAACATGATGTGCTCCTCGAAGGAGACCGTCTTATTGTCAAACTTGTCCCTCTCCAGAGCTGTAAAAAAAAAAAAAAAAAAAAAAAAAAGGGTGAATCAGGACATAAGTGAAATATCTTTATTGTACCCTTATCAAACTGACGCTATCGCCAGACTATCTCCATGAGGAACACATAGCCAATAAAAACCACAACAGACCAAACTTTTCTCCACCCAAAGCTAAAGAAAACTTCCAGGATCAGCAAATATTGTCTAGAGTCCGGCATATTCTTCTTGAATCTTAGAGAGCTTTGTGTATTTCTTCCAGATCTGGGCAGTCATCAGTGTGACACTTCCTGTAATAAAGACCAGTCACTGCTGCTCGCCCTCCCTGTGCAGGCTGACTGGTCTGGTCTCCGCCCCCTTCTGTAGTTTTCTGCAGGCAGCCTGTAGTGGGCGGGGCCTGCTGGGCCCCTCCCACAGGCTGTGTGCAGCACGCTGATGATGTCACCACTACATTATAATATCGGCAAAGGCATTTGTTGCAGACAAAGTTGTTGGTTTTTATTCTTTGTGGTGGTTGCGGAATAGATTTAAATGAAAGTTTCTTACGCCTTTGAAACAGCTCAGACTCTTCTGCAGCCCAGTGATGATGTCACCTCGACTTTCACAAAGTAATATCTGGGTTTATATCCTTCACCGCTATACAGGAACATATTGAAATGGAATACGTTGTGCCTGGAGTTCAGCTTGAAGTAATATCCTCACATAGAGACAGACAGAGCGATGATTCAGGGAGGTGATTCACAGCGCTGAATATCCAGGCAAACTTTCTATATTTATATATCAATACATTCCATGAATCCCAGATAATGATTCATACCTATTACATGTAATCACTTCTGTCCTGGCAATTATGTGCGGCTAAGAAGAGGACAGAGATGTCCGTGCTACTGTCAGCGAGATGAACCGCGGCGGAAACATTTGCAGAATGTCTGGTTAGAATCTGCAGCACCAGATTGTTCTATTACTCCTCACACACATTGCAATCTGATTGTACAATCTCCTTAAGATCGACCAACTGCGATGTAGTGCAAGGGCCTGGCTGACTGGGTACAAACAGGATGGCTGCTTTCAGTAGGTCTTCATATTACAGATTTAAAAAATGTAAAGTTGATTGTAAAAAGATTGTCTGGTTAGATTGTAACATGTATGATGATCTTAAGGCCTCATTCACGCGGCGTAAAGTCGGGCCGTACAGAACCGAGTGGTGTGCACGGCAGTGACGTGCGGTACCTCTTGCTCGGGCCCCACCCCCCAAGTGCAGCCTCCTGCTGACTGAAGCTCCGCCCCGTCGGACGAAGCTCCACCCCCAACCTGTCCCCAAGCTAGTGTAAAGGAGGAAGGGAGGAGAAAGGCAGGAGCCTCCCTGTCCCTCACCGCTGAGACTCCGTGACAGGTAAGGGGGAATCAGGACATAAGTGAAATATCTTTATTGTACCCTTATCAAACTGACGCTATCGCCAGACTATCTCCATGAGGAACACATAGCCAATAAAAACCACAACAGACCAAACTTTTCTCCACCCAAAGCTAAAGAAAACTTCCAGGATCAGCAAATATTGTCTAGAGTCCGGCATATTCTTCTTGAATCTTAGAGAGCTTTGTGTATTTCTTCCAGATCTGGGCAGTCATCAGTGTGACACTTCCTGTAATAAAGACCAGTCACTGCTGCTCGCCCTCCCTGTGCAGGCTGACTGGTCTGGTCTCCGCCCCCTTCTGTAGTTTTCTGCAGGCAGCCTGTAGTGGGCGGGGCCTGCTGGGCCCCTCCCACAGGCTGTGTGCAGCACGCTGATGATGTCACCACTACATTATAATATCGGCAAAGGCATTTGTTGCAGACAAAGTTGTTGGTTTTTATTCTTTGTGGTGGTTGCGGAATAGATTTAAATGAAAGTTTCTTACGCCTTTGAAACAGCTCAGACTCTTCTGCAGCCCAGTGATGATGTCACCTCGACTTTCACAAAGTAATATCTGGGTTTATATCCTTCACCGCTATACAGGAACATATTGAAATGGAATACGTTGTGCCTGGAGTTCAGCTTGAAGTAATATCCTCACATAGAGACAGACAGAGCGATGATTCAGGGAGGTGATTCACAGCGCTGAATATCCAGGCAAACTTTCTATATTTATATATCAATACATTCCATGAATCCCAGATAATGATTCATACCTATTACATGTAATCACTTCTGTCCTGGCAATTATGTGCGGCTAAGAAGAGGACAGAGATGTCCGTGCTACTGTCAGCGAGATGAACCGCGGCGGAAACATTTGCAGAATGTCTGGTTAGAATCTGCAGCACCAGATTGTTCTATTACTCCTCACACACATTGCAATCTGATTGTACAATCTCCTTAAGATCGACCAACTGCGATGTAGTGCAAGGGCCTGGCTGACTGGGTACAAACAGGATGGCTGCTTTCAGTAGGTCTTCATATTACAGATTTAAAAAATGTAAAGTTGATTGTAAAAAGATTGTCTGGTTAGATTGTAACATGTATGATGATCTTAAGGCCTCATTCACGCGGCGTAAAGTCGGGCCGTACAGAACCGAGTGGTGTGCACGGCAGTGACGTGCGGTACCTCTTGCTCGGGCCCCACCCCCCAAGTGCAGCCTCCTGCTGACTGAAGCTCCGCCCCGTCGGACGAAGCTCCACCCCCAACCTGTCCCCAAGCTAGTGTAAAGGAGGAAGGGAGGAGAAAGGCAGGAGCCTCCCTGTCCCTCACCGCTGAGACTCCGTGACAGGTTACACAGCGGCGAGGATTTCCCTGCTGTGTAACCTGTTAGATGCCGATCGGAATGGAGAAAAAGCTGTCAGCTTCAGACATGACAGCTTTTTCCTCCATGATTCTAGGTGAGGCTCTGCCTCACCTGCCTCCCCTGACCGCACGTCCCTGGTGCACGGTCGTATTGGGCCGTCCCTGGGAGAGACAAGTGCTGCGTGTGATTGTACGCAGCAGCCTGTTCTTCCCTATGGGAGGACGCGGCCGTACGCTGTCATATGCACCCCCGTGTTGCACATCTGTGCGGGTCCGGGTGTCTGTGCTCGGACGCACACAGGATCCATCCTGTCTGCGTCTGAGTACAGACACCCACACGGGGGTGCGTTCGGCCGCGTCCTCCCATAGAGAAGAACAGGCTGCTGCGTACAATCACACGCAGCACTGGTCTCTCCCGGGAACGGCCCGATACGGCCGCGCACGCCACACGGATCTGTACAGCCTGACTCTACGCTGTGTGAATGAGGCCTAAAGGTGACCACACACAACACTCTGTTTAAAAGCCCCAAAAATAGAGACACGTGGATATTTCTAAAAGATATTTAGGCTAAAAAAATGATTGGACAGATAGAAAATGATGCTGGAGTCATAGGGAGTGTCGTATAATTAACAAGATTTAAGTTTCCGCCATCGTTAAAGTAGACGTAATCATTAAAATGTTATATAACATGTTAAAAGGGATTTTCCAAGTATTTTTTTTTAAATCTGAAGCTTTATTAAAATAATCCCTGTTAATCTGGCCATGAAGATCTTTGTTCTGGCACTTCCTGTTACAGGGTGACAGCGTTCTGTCCCTATCTCCCATTTGTGCTCCAGCATTGTCACCCTGTCACACGGGCTTCTGATGGAGACCATGATGCAGGAAACCCACCCTGTGAAATTTCATACAGCCATTGCTGGGTTTAGAGTTCACTGATTGGCTGTCTTTGCTGCCCATTATCAGTGATAGATGGTAGGGATGCACCCATACCGGTTTTTCGGTATCGAGTACCGATATTTTTTTTTTCTTCAGTACTCACCGATACCGAATACCGGAAGTCCCATTAAGGTAGCCAGGCGGCTTCCTTAAGTGTCGAGGGAGCATAGAGCCGGCTTCCCGGCCAATAATGACTTGCTGCCCGTCTTCCCGATACCAGAAGTTCGGGTGTCATGGCTAGGCAACGGAGCTTTTGGGCAAGTATGAGTACTCGCCCAAATAATCGGTATCGGCACTGATACCGATACTAGGATTGGTATCGGTGCATCTCTAACAGATGGTCTGCTAAGATGTAAGCGGTTCCGACAGGGACATTAAAGATGTCAGTAGGAGGCTTGCAACTGTTTCCAGACACAACACAAAATGGTTATTCGATAGATGGATTGTAGAATCTCGTTAAAATTACTTATTCTACAGAGAGCAAAAAAATGTATTTAAGGGCTGTTTTGGGCAATTATACACAGTGACCCAATGGGCCCATTTATAAAAGTTTTAATTGCTATGTTGCCGATTTATGGTTCCTCAGGGGCCCAGCCAGCACAGCCCCTCCGGGGATCAGAGGCTCACCACAGATGAAGCAAGTTGTCTTCAGAATTTCCTCTTTCTTCTGCTTCTCACTTCTCAGGTCAGCGAAAGTATCAATGATGACACCAAAGATGAGGTTCAGGACGATGATGATGACGATGAAATAGAAGAGGAGGTCATAAACAACTCGTGCAGCGAACAAAGGCTCCTGGAATACAGGATGGAGAGGACAGGATTAGGAATATATTCACAGTATAGTTCCTATCTAGGCATGTTAGGTTTGAGGTGCAGGACTGGGGCCTCTGGGACACAATAAGGTAAGAACAGGTCACGTGGGGTGAACTTAGTGCTTGGGGTTAGCTGAAGGTTAAGGATAGGGAAGAGTTCAAGTGTATATTTGGATAGAGTAGGGAAGTTATTTATTCCCCAGATGTAATTCTATTGCAGGAGATGAATGGGCGTCTTCGGCCGCAATCCTACCTCATTGGACCCCACTACCATAAACTTTGGGCTAATTCAGGCCGTGCGTTCCTTTTTTGTCCTCTTCATTGGACCACACAAGATGCTGTGTGAAGTGGCTCCCCTTACCTTGCTGTGATAAAGCTGCGGCTGTCCACCTGTTGCTCCCCAGGTAAGGACCCATTTTCTAGATCTTAAGCCCCCCATTCACGCCTGGACGTTTTGTTGTGGGTTTCCTGAAGCGTCACAATACTTACCATGAGGAATCCCATTATTTTCAATGGTAACCGATCACACCTGAGACTTGTGTAGCTTGATGCTTGTAGCTCAAAAAAGTACATGAGCATTTTTATAGGCACGCTTTGTGTCCATTGACTGCAATAGGAGCACCTGAATAATGTCTGTTTTATACACAATTTCCTGCCTAACACCATCGTCTGCTCCTAATAGCCAGATTTCTAGCATATTAACAAAAATGCTTCAAACCTAAAAGGCTTGAAAATTGTGCTGAGTTCCCGGGTCTATACACCTGCTGTGCCAATTATAAGAGACTCCCACCATCCCTGAGCTGAGTTCCTGGGTCTATACACCTGCTGTGCCCATTATGAGGGGTCCCACCATGCCTGTGCTGAGTTCCCCGGTCCTGGGTCTCCCATTATAAGGGGTACCCCACCATCCCTGTGCTGAGTTCCCAGGTCCTGGGTCTCCCATTATAAGGGCCCCCCACCATGCCTGTGCTGAGTTCCCGGTCCTGGGTCTCCCATTATGAGGGGTTACCACCATCCCTGCTGGCTCTGTATTTATTTTATACTATGTAGAATGTAACAGGAGGCGCTGGAACACAAAGGTCTTTGGGAACATACAGCGAGAATTATGGCAGGAAGCTTTAGCTGTTGGAATATCTGTACATACATAAAGCCAGGGACTGAATCATCCTACCAGACTCCACCTACAACTAAAACACTGATATGGGGTGGACTGACCCTCTAGCTATCAATGTTGGGTTGGTTGAAAAATCTGCATTATAATACAGTTAATATGAAGAAAATCACATGACAATGAAAGAATAGGAATGGCTGTACCCCCCCCCCCCACCCACCACC